CTTTGCCCCGCTGCCCAGGGCTGAAGCCACAGCCTGAGCCCTGCCACCCAGGGCTGAAGGCTTTGGCCCGGGAAGTGGGGCTTGGCCTTCAGCTTCTGCCCTGGACGCCAACAAGTCTTAACTGCCAGCCCTGGTGACCACATTAAAATGTAGTCCCGATCAACTGTCTGAGAACCACTAATATAGAAGAGAGAAGCGTTCAATAAATATTTGTTCTGTTGTGACGGGTTCGGTCACAGAGACCCCCTTGGGACTGTCACCCATGCTGAAGTTACCTCTGACCCCATTTTCCCTACCAACTTGGGACTCCAGAACCCTGCCTTGAGCCAGACACACTAGCCTGCTGCAACACAGACCCAGGATCTGGGCCATATCCCCAAAGCTGCAGCCTTTCACCAAAAACTGCTCTTCAGGTTACCTGACTCCAGCATCCAGCCACCCAGTTCCCAATGGGAGCCAAACCCCAAATAAATCTGTTTTACTCTGTATAAAGCTTATACAGGGTAAACTCAAATTGTCCGCCCTCTATAACACTGATTGAGAGATATGCATAGCTGTTTGCTCCCCCAGATATTAATCACTTACTCTGGGTTACTTAACAAACAAAAGTGATTTTATTAAGTATAAAAAGCAGGATTTAAGTGGTTGCAAGTAATGACAGACAGAACAAAGTCATCAAGCAAAATAAAACAAAATATGCAAGTCTAAGCCGAATACATTAAGAAACTGTTTACAGGTAAAATCTCCCCTTCAGAGATGTTCCAATAAGCTTCTTTCACAGATTAGACTCCTTCCTAATCTGGGCCCAGTCCTTTCCCCGATACAGTTCTTGTTAGTTCCAGCAAACATCTTAGGTGGAAAGCAGGGGTGTTCTCATGACTGGCAGCCCCCTTTGTTCTGTTCCACCCTTTTATAGCTTTAGCACAAGGCAGGAATCTTGTGTCTCTCTGGGTCCCGCCCCTCCTTCTAAATGAAAAAGTACCAGGTTTAAGATGGATTCCAGTGACATGACCCCATGTCTTGTGAGACCCCAGCCTCCATTCTTCCAGGGCTGGCCCACACTCACCCAGGAAGGTTTGCAAGTAAACAGACCATTTACAACCAATTGTCCTAGTCAATGGGAGCCATCGAGATTCTAAACCACCATCAATGCACACTTTGCATAATTACAATAGGACTTCAGAGTTATACTTTATATTTCTAGCTTCAGATACAAGAATAATTCCTACAAATAGGATGAGCACAGTCAGTAGATTATAAGATTTGTAAGGATACCTCACAGAGACCTTTTGCATAAAGCATATACCAGTTACATTATATTCATACTCAAGCATATTTCCTTAAATATTATGGAGTGTAGCATCACATCTGTAGTTGGAAAGAAACAGAATGATGCACTTGTATGCGGATGAAGTACTTTCCCATCCATTAGGAACAGAAGATGATGTATATCAAATAGGGATAAATATTTTTATTTCAGCAAGCCGAAAAAGCTTGCACCCAAGATTCTTAAAAGAACTGGTTGAGAAGATCAGCGGTCCACTGATTTTTTTTTTTTTTAAATAAATCTTGGATTACTAGGGAAATGCCAGAAGACCGGAAGAGGGATAATGTTGTGCCAATATTCTCAAAGGGTAAGTGGGATAACCTGGTAATTATAGGCTAGTTCAGTAGTTCTCAAACAGTGGGTTGGGACCCCAAAGTGGATCACGACCCTGTTTTAATGGGGTTGCCAGGGCTGGCATTAGACTTCCAGGGCCCGAGGCCGAAGCCTGAGCCCCAGCACCCGGGGCCAAAGCCAAAGCCCAGGGGCTGCTGCCCTGGGATGCGGGGCTTAGGTTAGAGGTCCCCTGCCCAGGGCTGAAGTCCTTGGGCTTCGGCTTTGGGCCCCCCGTACAGAGTGGCAGGGCTGGGGTAGGCTCAGTCTTTGGCCCCCTCTCCTGAGGTCGTGTAGTCATTTTTGTTGTTAGAAAAGGGACATAGCGCAATGAAGTTTGAGAACTGCTAGTTAGCCTGATATCAATTCCAGGCAAAGTAATTCTTTATCAGTTGAATGATGTATCAGCTTTTCCATTAAAGGATAGGAACAGAACAAGGTTAGTCAATATGGGTTTTGAAAAAGAGATCTTGTCAAACCAGATTTAATTCTCTAAGATTAAAAGTTTGGCAGATAAAGGTAACCATGTAGATTCATAGACTTTTGTAACGTGTTTGACTTAGTACCACATGATGGATTTAAAAATGAGCACTATATCAATAAAGCACATGGATTTCAAGAAGGTAGACTTTAGCAAACTCAGGAAGTTCGTAGGTAAGATCCCATGAGAAGCAAGTCTAAGGAGAAAAACAGTTCAAAGGAGTTGGCAGCTTTTCCAAAGAGACGTTATCAAGAGCGCAAGAGCAAACTATCCCTGTGTAGGAATGATAGGAAGTATGGCAAGAGACCACGATGGCTTGACCAGGAGATCTTCAATGATGTGAAACTCCAAAGAGTCATACAAAAAGTGGAAACTAGGTCAAATTACAAAGAATAAATATAAACAAAGAACATAAGCACATAGAGACAAAATTAGAAAGGGCAAGGCAAAAAACAAGATCAAACTAGCTCGAGACATACAAGGGTAACAAGAAAACATTCTACAAATACATTAGAAGAAAGAGGAAGACCAAGGACAGGGTAGGCCCCATTTCCCAATGAGGGGGGGAAACAAACAGAAAATGAGGAAATGGCAGAAGTGCTAAATGGCATTTTTGTTTCAGTTTTCACCAAAAGGGTTACAAGTGATTAGATGTTGTCATAAATATAAAGGGAAGGGTAACCACCTTTCTGTATACAGAACTACAAAATCCCTCCTGGCCAGAGGCAAAACCCCTTCACCTATAAAGGGTTAAGAAGCTAAGATAACCTTGCTGGCACCTGATCAAAATGACCAATGAGCAGACAAGATACTTTCAAAGCTGGGGGGCGGGACAAAGGGTCTGTCTCTCTGTGTGATGCTTTTGCCAGGAACCGATCAGGAATGTTCTTCAGAACTTCTATTAAGTTAGTAAGTAATCTAGCTAGAAATGCGATAGATTTTCTTTTGTTTAATGGCTGGTAAAATAGCTGTGCTGAATGGAATGTATATTCCTGTTTTTGTGTCTTTTTGTAACTTAAGGTTTTGCCTAGAGGGATTCTCTATGTTTTGAATCTGATTACCCTGTAAGGTATTTACCATCCTGATTTTACAGAGGTGATTCTTTTACTTTTTCTTTAATTAAAATTCTTCTTTTAAAAACCTGATTGCTTTTTCATTGTTCTTAAGTTCCAAGGGTTTGGGTCTGTGTTCACCTATGCAAATTGGTGAGGATTTTTATCAAGCCTTCCCCAGGAAAGGGGGTGTAGGGCTTGGAGGGATATTTTGGGGGGAAGACGTCTCCAAAGTAGGCTCTTTCCCTGTTCTTTGTTTAACACGCTTGGTGGTGGCAGCACAGGGTTCAAGGACAAGGCAAAGTTTGTACCTTGAGGAAATCTTTAACCTAAGCTGGTAAGAATAAGCTTAGGGGGTCTTTCATGCAGGTCCCCACGTCTCTACCCTAGAGTTTAGAGTGGGGAAGGAACCTTGACAGATGTCTAACAGTGGTGTGGTATATCTTGACTTTAGTAAGGCTTTTGATACTATCTTGCATGACCTCAAACAAACTAGGGAAATACAACCTAGATGGAGCTACTATAAAGTGGGGGCATAACTGATTGGAAAACCATTCCCAGAGAGTAGTTATCAGTGGTTCACAGTCAAACTGGAAGGGCATGTCAGGTGGGGACCTGCAGGAATCAGTTCTGGGTGTATTTCTGTTCATTACCTTCATCGATAATTTAGATAATGGCATAGAGACTACACTTATAAAGTTTTCAGACGAAACCAAGCTGGGAGGGGTTTGTTTCAATCCTATCGTCCAATGTGGCCAAATTGGAGAAATGGTCCTAAGTAAATAGGATGAAATTCAATAAGGACAAATGCAAAGTACTCTACTTAGGAAGGGACAATCAGTTGCCTGCATACAAAATAGGAAATGACTGCCTAGGAAGGAGTACTGCAGAAAGGGAACTCAGGATCATAGTGGATCACAAGCTAAATATGAGTCAACAGTGTAACACTGTTGCAAAAAAAAAAAAGCAAACATCATTCTGGGATCTCTTAGCAGGAGTGTTGTAAGCAAGACACAAAAAGTATTTCTTCCTCAACTGGAGGACTGTGTCCAGTTCTATGCGCCACATTTCAGGAAAGATGTGGACAAATGGGAAAAAGTCCAGAGAAGAAAAACCATTATTAAAGGTCTACAAAATATGACCTGTGAGGGAAGATTTCTCCAGACCAAACAAACCCAATTTTTGCAGAGAAGACAGGGGGGGACATGAGAACAGTTTCCATGTATATAAAAGGTTGTTACAAGGAGAAAAATTGTTCTCAAACACTGAGGATAGGACAATGGGCTTAAATGGCAGCCAGGGAGGTTAAGCACTGGAATAAATTGCTTAGGGAGGTTGTGGAGTTTCCATCATTGGAGATTTTTAAGAGCAGATTAGACAAACACCTGTCAGGAATGGTCAAGATAATACTTAGTCCTGCCACAAGTGGACAAAATGACCTCTCAAGGTCCCTTGCAGTCCTACGATTCTATGATTCCACGTTAAAAGGATTAAGAACTGGCTAACTGACAAATCACAAAAAGGTAGTGGCAGACAATGGGGAATCATCACTGAATAATCGTTTCTAGTGGATTCAGCAGAGATTAGTACTAGGCCTGATACAATTTGACATTTGGGATTCAGAAGTAAACATAATCACTGCTGATAAAATCTGAAGATGACACAAAGATTGGGAAAATGATAAATAATGAGGACAGGGCAGTCATACAGTGATCGCTTGGTAAGGTAGGCCCTTTCAAAAAAAATGTGTTTTAATGCAGCCAAATGCAAAGTTATTCCTCTAGGAACAAGAAATGTAGCTCATACTTACAGGAAGGGTAACTTTATCCTGGGAAGCAGTGACTCCAAAAAGGATTAGGGGGTCATAATAGACAAGCAACTCCCACATGACCTTCCAGTGGAGTACTGTGGCAAAAAGGGCTAATGCAATCTGTGGATGTATAAAACAGAAGTAGTGAGTAGGACCAGGAGGGTGCTTTTACCTCTTCATATGACAGTGGTGAGAGACAGATAGTGGAATACTGCATCAAGTTCTGGAATCCATATTTTAAAGAGGATGTTGAAAAATTGAACGCTGCAAGAAAAACAAGTCATTTGAAGGCTAGGGAAAATTCCCTCCATTAAGATAAACTGAACAAGATTGAGCTCTGTATCAAAAAAAACAGAGAGGCGTATAAGTACCTTCACAGTGTAGAAGTGTATTACAGAGTATAAGTACCTTCACCGGGAAAAAAGATAGTAGATCTCTTTAATCTAGCGGAGACAGGGATAGCAAAGAACCAGTGACTGGAAGCTAAATCAGACAAATTTCAAATTAGAAAGAAAGCACTTGTTTAACAAAAAAAACAAAAAAATTGTGAGTGATTAATTACTGGAACAAATTGCCAGGGGAAGTTATGGATTTTTTATCTCTTGATATTTTCAAATCAATATTGGAGGCCTTTCTGGAAGTTATGCTTTAGTCAAACAGAAGTTATTGAGCTCAGTACAGGGATAACAGTGAAATTTTATGTCTTGTGTTATCCATATCAGGCCAGATGATCAAATGATCCCTTCTGGCATTAATCTCCCCATGCACACATTAACCCATTTTAGAAGAGCTCTCTCTCCAGTGTAAGACAATCATGAAAGTTTGACTTGCTGACTACGACGAGTTTTGTGGTTCTGAGTATCTACTAAATGAAGAAGTGGCAGCTCCGAGGACCATTGATATAGACCGGGGTGGCCCACATGTGGCTCTTCAGAGGTTAATATGCAACTCCTGGCATAGACGCCAACACCAGGGCTGGAGCTACAGGTTCCAACTTTCCAGTGTGCTACAGGGTGCTCACTGCTCAACCCCTGGCTCTGCCCCAGGCCCCACTCCACTCCTTCCCCAAGGCTCCCACCCCTTCCCGGAGTCTGCTGCACACCACTAAACAGCTGATCGCAGCAGGTGGGAGGTGCAGGGATGGAGGGTTAGGTGCTAATCAGCAGTGCAGCTGTAGGGTGGGAGACACTGGGGGCGGGAGGGAAGCGGGCTGAGGGGAAGCTGACGTGTTACTGTTGCTCTTTGGCAATGCACACTGGCTCCTTCTCAGGCGCAGGTTGGCCACCCTTGATATAGACAATATGACAAGGGGGAATTTCAGAGAATAGTGCAGCTCGAGTGAAACACAACCAATACTGTGATATTTCAGCTGTTCACATGCCAGTTTTAAATCAATGGACAACATTAAACTCACATAAGAAACAGACTTCTTTTTTAACCAAAAAATGTATTTAATGATTTTCCACACACAAATGAAGGGAACATATAAAATATTTTATATCAACATTCAACATTAGCTAAAATATTTTTTAAATATTTCAAAAGAAATCAATAGTGGAACTATAATAAAAAGCGGTTCAGTCCTATTTTCTGTGAAATTATACTTGAAATTCCATCACACACATACACAAATGTATGTAATCTTCAATTAGCTAAAAAGACATCCATCTAGTGCATGATGCATTTTAAACTTGCATACTGTTGTTCTATATGATGGACATTAACTCACATTTGGAAAGAGCCTTCACATTTTATTTTTATTTCCTGAATAATTACTGTACCAGCCACCAAGACACTTCCTCCACCACTTGTATATAAATATATATATATTTAGCAGCTTAAGTGACTCTAGAAATGTCATTGTAAGGTTTTATTACCATTATTTCTCAATGCTTCCCTATCAGATGTACACAGTTTACGAGTGAAAAGATGTATTTTCTAACTGCCAGCCCTGAAAACTCTTGATGGACTCCCATCAGACCATCTGGATTCCTTCCCTCTCACTGAAGTAACCAATTTTAAATTAGTAATTCTGTTGATGATGCACCAGAAGAAATGGAATCCAGCTAATCCCCAAGATAAATTGGCTCTGACGGGCTAACAGAAACAAAAAGCAGTAAAACTTATTTGTCATTTGGGATAGCATTCTGAATACACACAGAAAATGGATCTGCTGCTATTTTTACCTAGTCAGGTTTCAGAGTAGAGCTGCACTGCCGGTTAGTTAGCAGTTGCATTACAAAGAAGGTCACTTGATCAGTTCTGGTTATCTCTTGACTCTATCAAGTAAATGACTGGAGCTGTGGTAGCATGCCCACCAACCCAGTTTAATATAATGTAAAGCAAAAAGTTAATTTGATCAATTCATTTAGATACAAGATACTTTGTGGGTACGTCTACACTACCCGCCGGATTGGCGGGTAGTGATTGATCCCCGATCGCTCTGCCGTCGACTCCTGTACTCCACTGTGGCAAGAGGCAGAAGCGGAGTCGACGGGGGAGCGGCGGCAGTCAACCGTGAGGACGCGAGGTAAGTCAACCTAAGATACGCAACTTCAGCTATGAGAATAGCGTAGCTGGAGTCAACGTATCTCAGGTCGATCCCCGCTCCCAGTGTAGACCAAGCCTTAGTCTTAGTTTCCCCCCTCTGTTAAAGAATTAGCAATGGTCCAAGACAATAGAAATCCATCGATTTAAGTTGCACTGTAAGTTTTGTCATCTTTTGCAGAAAGAAGATTCTAGTCCTTCTGGTTGCAGAGATAGCCTTGAGAGCATTAACTAATTTGCTTTATCAGTACAACTTCAAGTCCGCAACCAGACAGGAATGAAACATAGCACCAAAGGAAATGCAGCATTCTTTATTTCATCTTAATGAAGCATTTTAACCCCAATTACAAAAGTTTAAATGCAACATCCTTAATTACTTCACTGTTGATCCTACTGCCTGAAACATCCAGCTAATGAATTTATTCACTGAACCTGGATGGATTTGTCAAACACTAACTTTACATTCATTTGAAATAGAGAAGGGTGCAAACTCTGACTAGCCAAGTCGACAACAGGATAATCTTTCAAATATTCTGATAAGGCTCACAATGTTCCTTGTAATTTATGACAAAATTAATATTCATATTGCTGCCCAATACAGTGTTGAATGACTGCACTTCAGCTTGCAGGATACTATGGGGTTCTCGATCAAGCTTGGCCTGAAAGCCTCTATTTTGGTAGTTCAGTTTAACACGCTAATACATATTTTAAGAATATTCTCATTGTTGTGAGTAAATAATATTATACAACAATGTAAAAGTAGAGCCAAGTTAGATAGAAAACGTGGACTCTAGACCCTACCCACAATAAGATGGAGATTTTTAACTAGAATTCCTCACATTTCTACTGTCCCTGATCATAGCATCTTCAATGAATTATCTTGAACAGACATAAATATATTTTCACATCAGCAATTAACAACGCTAAAAGTGAAATCAGACATGCTTCCTCCTCATTTTTCTTTTTCACAGCACCTAAGTTCTCCTGAGTTACAGGCAGTGGGTTATGACAGCTGACCACAGTCAGTAATGACAATCTTTTTGGATGTCTTTCCATTCTTGGAACCAAAGCTCTCGATTTTTTTCACAACTTCCATTCCTTCCTTTACGTAGCCAAACACAACATGTTTTCCATCTAGCCTGTGATATGAATAATAAATAAGTATAAGTAAAAGCAATATTAAACTAAATACACACTGAAAGTAAGGGGGATGCTGAATATGAATGCATATTCAGACTAGCTGATGACATTCTGATCAACTCTACTTACTGAAAAAGTAAAAGAATACAATACAGCTTTAGGACCTGATCCTACAGGCCCTTCCTCACATGAATAAAAGTTAGCAGGATAATGGCCTTATCTTGCGTAGTGCCCATTACTTAAGAACGTAAAGCATTTCAGGTTGCAAGCCTTAAGTACCAATAGCAGAAGGAGATGGAGATAGAAGGGAAGTGGTATAGTTGGGGAGGGAGGGCAAGGGGAACGTCTTAAATATGGGAGCAAAATGTACTGACACGATGAGGCAGACAGCTACAGAAAAGGTATTCCAAATGACAGGAGCAGTAGAGAGAGAGACGTGAATAGCAAAGGCTGTTCTAAGTGGGGCTAATCCAAAGCTCACTGAAGTCAATATAAGTCTCTCGAGTACAATTGCATCTGGGTCAGGCCTTTCGGGACTGTAAGGCAGCATGGTGTCTAGTGAAGCAACCCAACCTGGGAGACTGGAAGCCCCAGGATTGACCAAATCACTTAACCTTTCTATCTCCACTTGTCAGTAAGCATTCTACACATCCTGGGGCTACAGTGAGAATTTGTTCGTAGAATCGTTTTGCATGGAGGGGAGGGGAAAGCATACATTGCATTCATTACTGTCCTGCAGTTTTGTAGGAGGTCTCAATACACTTACAAGATTGTTGTAATTGGGGGGAAGAGGAGGAGGAACGGGGAGGAAGAGATGCATGAACCTTCAGCTAACCCAAGGTTTTATATTTTTCTAACTCACATAATGCTAATGAAGTAGTCCCAGTGTCCAGACTCACTTGTAATTTCTTTAGAAGTTAAAAAAAGTAAACTTTTTAAACATGCAAGGGAGAGCAGTCCTCCACCCATGTTCATCCTATTAACTTATGTTTAGAGCTTCTGGCTCAAACAGATTATTTCCTAGGAAGTGATGGAGAAATTTACAACTCACAGGGTAAATATCTGGTTAAGGCGGACTCCTTTTTCTTAATTTCCACTCCTGACCTATGGCTTCACCCTGCGCTACCAATGCTAATCAACTTTGGACTTGGAAGAAGCAAAGGCTTGTTCCAGCAATGATGAAGGTATTACTGAAGTATGCTGGGAACAGCAAGAGGTACATTACTGCATCCAAAGAAAATGAGAATAAAAATAAACGTGATGCCTTCATTTTATAATAGGAAAATGAAACCACTTATTGGATCCATTCAAATGCACAGCGCAACATCAACTGTTTGATTTATCTCCCTTATGTCCTCATTTCCTCCAACCTCCCCAAATCATAGAAGATTACGGTTGGAAGAGACCTCAGGAGGTCATCTAGCTCAACCCCTGCTCAAAGCAGGACAAACACCAACTAAATCATCCCAGCCAGGGCTTTGTCAAGCTGGGCCTTAAAAACCTCGACAGATGGAGATTCCACCACCTCCCTAGGTAACCCATTTCAGTGCTTCACCACCCTCCTAGTGAAATAGTGTTTTCTAATACCCAACCTAGACCTCCCGCACTGCAACTTGAGACCACTGCTTCTTGTTCTGTCATCAGCCACCGCTGAGAACAGCCGAGCTCCATCCTCTTTGGAACCCCCCTTCAGGTAGTTGAAGACTGCTATCAGATCCTCCCTCACTCTTCTCTTCTGCAGACTAAATAAGCCCAGTTCTCTCAGCCTCTCCTCGTAAGTCATGTGCTCCAGCCCCCTAATCATTTTCATTGCTCTCCACTGGACTCTCTCCAAATTGTCCACATCCTTTCTGTAGTGGGGGGGCCCAAAACTGGACTCAATACTCCAGATGTGGCCTCACCAGTGCCCAATAAAGGGGAATAATCACTTCCCTCGATCTGCTGGCAATGTTCCTACTAATGCAGCCCAATAGGCCATTAGCCCTCCTAGCAATGTGGGCGCACTGCTGACTCAAATCCAGCTTCTCATCCACTGTAATCTCCAGGTCCTTTTCTGCAGAACTTCAAGACTTGTAATGACAGAGCAATTAATGTAGATACATTTTTAAAAACTGCAGACCCATGGGGTAAGTGTTACCATATGTATTTCTACGGAAAACTTACCAGTCAGTTTTGGCAGTGCAAATAAAGAACTGAGACCCATTTGTATTGGGTCCTGCATTGGCCATTGAGAGTATACCTGCAAAAACATGAACATATTAGCAATGTATTCATCTGAAAAATGTGCTGTAGAGAAAATGCACTTTTCCTTTGCATACATAAGGCTAGTAGAGATGCGGAATAGGGCGGAAGGCATGTTGCTTCAGCGTGGCTGCTCATGTCCCACCCTTTCTTTCTCCTTTCCTTTCTCCTCCAGCAATGGTAGTATGGGGATAGTTCATCTGCCATTGGGACCAGTGATGAGCTGCCAAAATCTTAACAACTGGTTCCCTCCTCACTCCACAAGGGGGTCGTGGCCCACCCCCTGGGACTCCTGCCCCATCCAGCCCCCCACATTCCTTGACACCCCTCCCACCCTTGCCCCATCCACCCTCCTCCCGTCTCCTGACTGCCCCCGGAACCAGGCAGGAGGGTCTCGTGGGCTAGCGTAGTGGGTGCCCACCGTGCCCTGGCCTTAAGAGCCAGAGGGACCTGCCGGGGGGCGAGGTGGGGAGTCCCGGCGGTGCTTACCTGGGGCAGCTCCCGGCAAGCATCTGGCAGGTCCCTCTGGCTCCTAGGTGCGGAGTAGCATAGCTGGGGGGGAGCAGGGGGAGCGGCTGCTCCCCACATTGATCACATCAAAAGTGGCACCTTAGGCACAAAGAAAAGGAGTACTTGTGGCACCTTAGAGACTAACCAATTTATTTGAGCATGAGCTTTCGTGAGCTACAGCTCACTTCATCGGATGCATACTGTGGAAACTGCAGAAGACATTATATATACCCACAGAGACCATGAAACAATACCTCCTCCCACCCCACTCTCCTGCTGGTAATAGTTTATCTAAAGTGATCATCAAGTTGGGCCATTTCCAGCACAAAACCAGGTTTTCTCACCCTCTGCCCCCCCGCCCACAAACTCACTCTCCTGCTGGTAATAGCCCATCCAAAGTGACCACTCTCTTTAAAATGATGAAGTGAGCCGTAGCTCACGAAAGCTCATGCTCAAATAAATTGGTTAGTCTCTAAGGTGCCACAAGTACGCCTTTTCTTTTTGCGAATACAGACTAACACGGCTGTTACTCTGAAACCTTAGGCACAGACTCCGTGGGTGCTCCGGGGCTGGAGCACCCCTGGGGAAAATTTGGCGGGTGACCCACCGGCAGCTCCCTGCCCGGCCCCAGCTCACCTCCACTCCACCTCCTCCTCTGAATGTGCCACCCCACTCTGCTTCTCCACACCCCCGACTTCCCGCAAATCAGCTGTTTGTGTAGGAAGCCTGGGAGGGCTGAGAAGCAGGCAGGCCCAGAGAGGCGGAGGTGAGCTGGGGCAGGGAGCAGTTCCCCTGCGTGTCCCCCCCCCGAAGGTTACCTGCTGCGGTGCGGGCGGCCCTCCTTGTGCCCCCCCACCCCAGCTCACCTCCGCTCCGCCTCCTTGGGCCTAAGCATGAAGCAGCTGCTTACGTCTCAGCCCTCCCAGGCTTCCCGCGCGAACAGCTGATTCGTGGGAAACGGGGGTGGGGTGGGGGGGGAACCAGAATGGGGCAGAGCATAACTCAGGGGCAGAAGTGGAGCAGAGGTGAGCTGGGGGCGGGGAGGGGAGCTGCTGGTGGGTGCTCTGCACCCACCAAATTTTCCCCATGGGTGCTCCAGCCCCAGAGCACCGACAGAGTCAGCGCCTAAGGTGCCACTTTTGGCCAGTTGTTAAATTTAGAAGCCCTTTTAGAACTGGCTCCAGCTCACCACTGATTGGGACCCTGAAGGTGGCTCCTACCTTGTAATGTCTATTGTGGCTTGCATGGTAAATAGGGAAAACCAACTGACTTGGTCCCCATGATAAATGGAACAAGTCTGATATGTTAGAATTGCATAGACATTTCCTAAGTGTATGTTCCTAGGTGACTGGGTTCTTCCCCCTCACCCCTGTATTCACCTGCTCTTTTGACTATAGTTGGTTATAATTCGTCTGTTGCTATAACCGATCTTTTGGCTAAAAGCTTTTGTGCTCCCTTCCACACCATCTAGCTGGTGGACAGCCAACACCATGGTGACCAGTCAGACAGACCCATGACCACTTCATTTCACTCTGAGTAAAAATTCAAGTCAGGAAATTCAGAAAACAGAAAATGTAGCCAAATTCCATTCCATTACAAAAAGAGTTGTTCCACGTTTGGGACAGTTTGTAAACATAAAATAGAACAAACATGTTAGGCTATGATAATTTGCATAGCATCCACTTAAAGCAAACTGCAATAGGTGTGATGATCTGACTGTCACCCATCATAGGCTGTCTACATGATGTGTATATTAACACAGCTGAACTAGTAACACCTCACCACTTCGACACCACCTCAATGGACCTTTTTGTAATGATCAAGTACCTCACCCACCTCAAATATGTGCTCCTTAAAATGACATTTTCTACAGGTACCAATCATTACAAATTGCTCAGCAGAAGGGAAGAGGAATAAGTTTATTTACCAGGTCCAACGTGCTTAAGTATGAAATTTTCATCTGGAAATCGACTGCCATAAATGGATTTTCCTCCCGTGCCATTGTGGTTGGTAAAGTCCCCAGCCTGAAACATAAGTGGTTTTTAACTTTACTAATGTACAGGTTGCATTTTATACTAAAACAGGTGCTATTAAAAATATACGCACTGTTGTAATTAATTTACATGGAATATACGGGCTCAAAGGAGTTAATATGACCCTGTCACTATCCAACATTAAACAACATTAAGCAAGGTTCAGGCTTTGGTATAGAGACTTCAGCCTGCTTAGTACTACAGCAAACACATGATTAAAAATTTTAAACCTTTTATTAAAGATATAGAAATGGAGGAAAAACAGTTAATACTTTATATTTCAAATGCGTTAAGTTGAACTTTCATTTTAACATCTTGTTCCCTTTAGCTGTAGAGAGTCCTTAAATGGAAAAAACCCAAAACCATCGTTCAACAGTCTTTTAGATAGTATTAAAGGTGGAAATAACTTCTCTTTTTCCCAAAAAAAGACAGTTAATTAAGATAGGCTGGTGCTGTTTTTGTTAAAATCCCAATCCTGTTTCCTAGAAGACAAAATAAGACAAACACACACAAGACGGGAGAGAAAAGAATAGCAAAGACACAAAATACAGCTTCTGTCTTGGGTCAATGTTTACTTGCCACCTCACTGCTGGAAAAACAAATACATGGCACTTGGTCTTATTAGCCACTCTGAGACCTGGGAAACTCATACCAACATCGACCCTTATTAGACAGAAGGCAAAAGGAGAGGGTTAGGAAAGAGAAGAAATAAAGTGGGGAAGAAAAAAGGACACGTGGGTGGGAGTGGGGATTGGTGGCAAAGTCTCACATCCTAGTTAGCCAGAGCCACTGAAGGTGGCTATGTCATCTGGGTCCCCCTCTCTCTGGCCTGGTCAGGTCAGGATTAGGATGATGAAGGCTCAACAGTGATGTGGTGGATCCCAGGGTACCAGGAAATGATGGGGATGGCAGCAAGGATCATATACCTTGCTCCTGTCCTGTCTGCCCATTTCTCAGTCTGCAGTTGTCAGACAGCTTCTTCTGATAATTTTCCCAGAAAGTCTTCTCATCATTTGTTATAGGTTCTTGTAACAATTTTATAAACTTTCACTCACTTTTTCCAGTTGAGCTCACAATTAGGGTAACTTTGCAGGAAAGGTCCCCAATGGATACTTTATTCACCACTTCAATACAGAGGTACTGAAGACTCACCTGGTGATTATGCAGTACTGGCAGACTTCCTACCCTCAATGGAAGAGATTCCGATACTGTGGGAGTCTTAATCCAAACATTTTGATTTTGTAGTTTTAAATTTGGAAAGATGATCTGATTTTAGTCACACTCAGAGCTGAATGGGAGTTTTCGCAGAGGCCGCAGGATCACGCCCCCGATAGTTTTTCTTTTACAGGACAAAAATTGTTAGGCAATTAATCCTAATTCATAGGATCACCTGATGTGTCCTATGTCTGACCTGTTTTATCTGCCTTGTAACTATCATAGGCTGAACGTTCCTCAGGACACAGACTGAGAGTTCTTATGTATGTACAGTGCCAAGCACACTGCTGCAAACGAAAGCTAATCCTTGCAAACAGAATGTTAGGGACAATTAGGAAAGGGATAGAATAGAAGACAAAAAATACCATAATGCCACTATATAAATCCATGGTGCGCCAACTGTATCCAGTACTTCAAAACCCATCTCAAAAAGGATACGGTAGAACTGGACAAGGGTCAGAGAAGGGCAAAGGTGATCAAGGGTATGGAACAGCTTCCATATGAGCAGGGACTTAAAAAGATTAGAGCGCTTCATTTTAGAACAGGGATGACTAAAGGGGGGATATGATAGGGTCTATAAAATTATGAAAAGTGTGGAAAAAATGAATAAAGAAGTGTTATTTACCAGGGGTCACTTGATAAAATGAAAAGTTGGCAGGTTTAATACACGTAAGAGGAGGTAATTTTTTACACAACAACTAACCCATAGAACTCATTGCCACAGGATGTTGTGATGGCCATAAGTACAACTGGATTCAAAAAAGGACTGGAAAAGTCCATGGAGAAATAGGTCCATCAATTGCTATTAGCCAAGATGGTCAGATGCCACTCCATGCTCGGGGTAGGTCTAAAACTTCTGACTACCAGAAGCCGGGGAGTGGAAGACAGGGGTGTATCATTTTATAATTGCTCTGCATATCTCCCCAAAAGCTCTGGTCCAGGACACTATTGGAGATACAATACTGGGCAAGACGGACCATAGTCTCCCCCAGTATGGCAGCTCTTATGTTCTTTGGAATCATAAGATATTGTGTATGACATTCACATTTTCAAGATTGGCTTGAGCTGCCCAAAGTTGTGCTTTACATAATAGTGTGGCAATTCTTGTGTAATCCCAGAAGCATGCTTTACGTGCTGTGTGTCATCAAGAGGCATCTGAATTGCAAAGTAAAGTTCATGGCAACCTTTAATTAGGTGTATTCGTCAGGCTGCATCACACTAACATTGCACCTCCTACGAGTGGAATGGCTTTCACTATTTCCACCACTTTTAGAATGTTAAAAGAAAAATTGTCCTAGAATTATTATATGGTCCTTGAAGCATATAGTAGCAGTTACACATCTGCAAATACAGAGCACTTTACAAACACTAACTCATCATCTCAACACTTCTGAGAGACAGGCAACTAATTTTGGATAGAACTATGTAAGTTAGTGGTGGAGCAGCAATCAATATTTTCAAGTTCCTGACCCCTAGGTCATAGTCTAGACCTTGATTCTTTTCCACCACCACCACAGGATCCAAAGCGTATTTTCAAAATAAAGTCAGTCTACTGCAGCATATTTGTCCGCTTTCCCTTATCAAAAGTGGGACAACATGAGAACATTTGAGTTTTGGTATTTTTTAAATTTTAAATGCAGTTTTTTGCTCAAGATGCAAGTGCCTCCAAGGTTATTGATTAAAAACAGCATTTACATGTTTATAAAGCCTTTCACCTCAAATAAATCACAAAGCCATTCAAAAACTCTATAAATACACTACTGTGGAAATGCAGCCTTCACTGGGGTGAGAGAAAGCAACCAATTATCATGCAGTCCAGTACACTGCAGCAATTGGGGGTGGGGGGAATTGTGTCCAAGTGCAATGGAACACACTCCTTCTGTCATGCAGAGCATCATGGAATGTTAATAAAGCATCCACACAAAACAGGTAGGCTATTAATTTCTCTTCCAAAGTGTATATACACTTTATTTTAAACAGGATCACTGTCATGTTTGTGTATTATTTATAGCAGTTTAGAATGATTCAGTCTTCAAATTAGAAGTAATTGCCACATTCAGAATCTCTTAAGACACCAAGTATTCTTTTTGTGAGTCAGCCTATTTACTTGGAAAACACAGTGAGTAGTTCATACGAAATCTCCGATTGTTTTCTTTTAAATGCCTGTATATCAACAGCAAACATAATATAGCTTAACAAGATGTTGTCAGCAAAGAAAGATTGGGTACATTGTTCTCTTATGTGCTACATTGCACTGATTATAATTCTACACACAGACTGTTTTCCTTACCAACAGCCATTTTACTGAGCACACCACTTGTTAAAATACATCACTACACAAAAGCACAGCTCCCAAAATCAGGATTTCTAAAAGCAGTCTAGAGTGGCATTTGCATTTACTTGTACAAACTGATGTGCTACACAACAGCCATAGCAACAGGTTCAGAAATGCAAGGCACATTGTCATATCTTCCTTCTGCTGTTAAGAGGTTACAACAGCAAAACTATTTAAAAGTCAGTGTTAAACTTGTGTTCTAATACTGTACAAATAAAAATAATTCTTAAATCAGATATCAGAATTCAGTATAATAGATCCACCATAATATGTTTCCCAAAATAAAAGTTTGGTGAAAATACTGACGATTACATTACCTGGCACATAAATAAAGGAATCACTCTGTGAAAGGTGGATCCTTTATACCCGAAACCCTTTTCACCGGTACAAAGAGCTCTGAAATTTTCTGGTAAAACAAAAACATATGAACTACTACCATGTAACATCATTATACAGTACCCTACAACCAAATTAAAATAAATGGCAGGTAATTTAGGTCCCACATCAGTGTTTTTTAAAAAAAGTTTAAAGCACGTTCTTTAAAAAAAGTTTAGTCTCGAACAGTGAAATAAAGTCCTATTAATTTTTTTTTAATTCTTCTATTGTGCATGCTTGAGAACTTTTTATTAGTGAAAGGTACTAATAAGAGAGCCCCAAAGTCAGAGTTTGTTTACCCCCACTACCATGCAGTATTATAGGTAGCCACAATGCAACGTTTGTCATTTCACTTGCACTCTTTTAGCCTAGTTTACGTTACAGTTAAGTTCCATCTAAGCTGCCTATTAAGCCCCATGGTCAGGGGAGAGGCACCTCTCCCGCTCCCAGCCCAGGTGCTGCTGCGGGTGGAGAGAAATTTGTGGGGAGTCCTCTCTCCCTGCCCACCATAGCCCCGAGGCAAGCCTGCACCCCAAACCCCTCATCCCTGGCTCCACCCCAGAGCCTGCACCCCCAGCCAAAGTCCTCAACCCCCCATGCCCCAGCCCTGAGCCCCTCATCCGTGGCCCCACCGCAGATCCCTCACCTCCCCAGCACACCCCAATCCTTTGCCCCAGCCCTGAGCGCCCCTCCCACACTACAAACCCCTCGGCCCCACCCCCACCACATGAATTTTGTTATGTGCACAAATATGGAGGGGATGCGTCACACCTCCTCCACATTGGTGCACATAACAAAATTCATTCCACTTATGCGTGGGAAAAATTAGAGGGAACACTGCACTACAGTTAGGTCGACGTAAAGCAGCTTCCTTCGACCAAACTCTGCAAGTGTCTGCAGTAAAACATAGCTCCCACCAATGTAACCCACCAACGACAGTGACTTAACTCCACCTCAGTGAGAGATGTTGCGCTGAGGACTACATAGTTAGGTCGATCCAGTGTCAGCACAGACACTGTGTTGTTTACATCGACTATGGTTGCCTTTCAGAAGCCATCCCACAATGCCCCACCCTGAAAGTTAAATCAGTGCAAGGGGTCCTGGTGAGGACACACACTGCTGACACAAGGAGAGTAGTTTGGACATGCAAAAGCAATTCAATCACTGTGGTGGCTGTACATCAAAATTAGGTTGACCTAATTTTGTAGTATAGATTTGCCCTTAATCTCAGTTTGAAATAACACCTCTAGGAGTGAGATTTCAGTCTCCATGCCTTTTAAACCTTTGCTCTTGCTTCATTTGTGAAAGTGGTATTTTTCCCATGGACGCTTGTCTACTAGGAAGTAGACCAAGACAACCAACTCAGACTCATAGACTAAGGTTAGAAGGAACCATCATGATCATCCAGTCTGACCTCCTACACACTGCAGGCCACAGACCCTCATCCAGTCCTGTAACAGACCTATAACCTCTGGCTGAGTTACTCAAGTCCTCAAATCATGCTTTAAAGACTTCAAGTTCACTTGGGTCATCGAACAGCCCCCAAAGAAAAACTTTTGATCACTAACAGGGTAGGAGGATTAAAACCATCTTAGATTTTTCTCCCTTTCACCTCTATCTCCCATTACCAATCTCCCAAACCACACTGTCCCCACTCCACAATTCCTCCAATTTGCTGTTGCTTTGGATTTCAGTGAAAGAAGTGTGTGTTTTATTTTTGTTAAACATTTTTGTCCAGCGTCGGTAACCAAAACACATAACTTTCATGCACAGGCAAGGTAGTGAACTCAACTTTGTCAGGAAAAAAAATTAGAAAAATTGGTGACAAAACATAATGAATATTGTCCTATTTTTCAATCAACTATTGAGCTAGTTAAAGTTTCTGTAAAGCTTTAATTCTGAATGCATTTTCCCCTCCAATTTCAATTCCCCCCTGCCCCATCTAATCTAAATCTTAAAATCACAAAGTATAAAACTTTCAAGACACTTTCTTACCAGCGGTCTTTGGAACCACATCAGCTTTTAGCTGTGAAAGAGAGAGAAAGAGAGAGCACAAAAAGTGAGCTTTTACATAACAAAATACACACATGAAAAAAGTTAAAAAGATACCTACATTGGTTTCATGAACTAAGCCAATCCAAAGAGGGGGAGACCTGTACTAAGGATGACCTTGTATATAAAATAAGCAACCCCATGTCCTAAACAACCATTTTAACATAGCCTAATAGTTTAATGCAGTTTGCCTGTAATTAAAGACCACCTCTTTGAAGCAACTCTTTCTTGTTGGGCCTCTGGTCAGTCACTTCAGACTGATTGTAGTTGTATTTAAGAACTAAAATTAACAATACAACATGAGATTCAGGAAGAATTTGAAATTTGACTGGAAAGACTCAGGATCATTGACCAAAAGTATTTTGGACTATCGTTGCAATTAAATTACTTCCAGCAAAGACTAATCTTTGAAGCCTGCTTAAAAATAGTTATATTATGGAAACTGAGGTAGCAGGAACAGAAAGAAGAGCAGACGTTGCACACCTAAAATTGATTCCCAAAGTCACACAGTGTCAAATTATTAAGTCTTCATTTCTGAAGATTTCACAGGAAGTACTTTTGTAGACCCTACAAATCTCTTCATAACAGCCAGCATGGATTTTTTAGACTAGTGACCATCTGCAAAAAAGTGTACATGATTGTTCTCAGGTACATATTGTCCCTCAATCAACTTAGACCACAAATCAGAGCAGAGAGATATCCTTGTGAAGATGCAGGCATTGCCAGATCCACGAAGGGAGTGTATCGGATCTGTAAGTGCAATGGCAGTTATCTTGGCTCACATACTGAACTGGGAGCCTTTAGAGCTAAAAGCATGACTAAAGCTCTCTAGCTGGGGCTTTAACAGACTCCTATCCTATGCAGTTCAGCACAGAGGGGGATCCTGTAATATGTTCTCAACAGTTACTCACAAGGATAACACTATTGCCACACAAGTACAGTCACTGGAAGACCATGCAACCATGAACATGCTACAGCCAAGCATGTTGACTTCCTCCTTTTGCCCTAACATTCAGTCACAAGAAGGTGTGACCTTTATAATCCCATTAATTTTATAGGAATGATTTTATGATACCAAAGAGAAGACTATCTGGTAATGAACTCCTTGCACAATGGTATTTTTACCAGAAGTCCCTCAAACAGTTCAAGACAACGTGAAGACTATTTGGTTTTGGTTAGTTTTCACAGCAATACTTTCAACAAAGGTTTTGGCCGCATGAAACCCTTCTCAGAGCACATTTGAACCTTCATGTGCTACATCAAAAGAGACCTAAGGATGGGTGGGCAAGAAAGAAGCTGTGATGAACTTTCTATCAATATCAATCAGAATGGAACATGACAGTCTTTCTTGTCTTCATATTCTGAAACAAACATTTCAGTCCTTCTCCTACGCAGTGTGTTCACAAACAGGTACTAAAGATACAAGGGACATATCGCTATTATAGATTCAGCATTTGTCATGACTATCACAGGAGTAATACATTGCATGATTTTTCTGTTTCTGTTTTTCTGTTTCTATAATGGCAAAGATTTTCCAGTATCTGAATTATTATGAGCTAGCAAGCAACCAATTGGGTGGTTGAGTGGATGTGAAAGACAGCAGCTGCACAAACTTGTGGAGTGTGATCCTGCAGGAACCTAATGGAAAGCATAGGAACTGGGACAACACCTCCAGGAAACAAGATAAGGAACCAGAATGGAGAACTCTGCCCCCTTAGCCAGAGTACAAAACAAACAAAATAAAGGAAAACAGGCAACCCTAAAACTTTATGGAAGTATTTTTTAACAAATAAAGAAGCTGAAAACTCAGAAGCCTAGGAAAATGAAAGAGACATTAGCTACATACCCAAAAGTCTCAAGTGTGTTTACATAAGCTATACTGAGGATTGCAACCAGAAAGGTAGTTTTGGACAACTGAAATAGAGTTTCCAAAATAATCAACACCAGAAACACTTTGCTTATTTTATGCAATTTAAGCATAATTTTCTAGAGACATTTTGTTTTTAATCAATTTAAAAATTCAGAGTTTTTCTTCAAAGCATTTTAGTCCAAACTTGCCTCTTAGTTCAAAGATTCAAACAGTTCAAGCAAACCAGTATTACTCATTTCTCTCCACCTCTGAATGCATTATTTAACTTCTCCACAGAAAAGTGAGAAAGCAAAAACAGATGGATCATTTTCTGTGTGTATTACAAACACATACTCATTCCCAGGACCTTTCATAATTGTCCATCTCCCCACAATTTCTATGACTCTTTTACAGGTATTTTTCATACTTCACCTTAACAAAGAAGCCAGCCTTAACAAAGCTCTTTAGCTGTAAGAAGACAACCACCCCATATAATTCCAGAAGCCTAGCACTGAAAAGTTCTCAACTGCCCCATCCGGAAGTTAAATAATAAGAGCCACATACAGGAAGTGGGCTGTTTCACTTTCATAATGATTTTGGGAGGAGTAGGAGAGGATCCAAAGTCTGTGGAAGTTACTAAAACTGTACAGCTTGAATTTCAGTAGTTTGAGTGATTCTACAAAGGAGAATTACACAGTCTTAACTACTCCATTGTATCAGTATTTATGTACTTTCATAGCTGAGTTCCTGAAGACAAAGCAACAGTTCTTTGAGTGCTCAATATGTACCCAACCAACACCAGCTGAGGGTTTTGCTGTTTGAGTTTGGCTAGGGAGTGTACACTTGCAATCCCCTACTCAGTAACATTTCCTGTTCATTACATTTTGCCGCTCTCCCTTGGTAAATGACAGTTCTACTCATGTGGTAAAGTCTGCTCCTCTGCCAGTCCTGACCTTGCCTGTGTCACTTTCAAAACCAGGCACTCATTTCCTCTAGGACAGGACTTTTTTTCCACCACATCATCAATTTAGAGTAAATCAACATACAAATAAGTCTGGATACCCAGCTTTGTCTCAGCCACTTCATACACTAAACATGAAACCAATTCCTCCTAGAGTTCCTTCTGGCACTACCTAAAAAAGGCATTCAGCAATGGGAAAGGGGACTGGAGGGGACATATTATATTGAAAGGATGCATGGTCTAGCAATTAAGGCACAGGACTGGGAGTCAGGATATCTGGGATGCATTCCCAGCTCTGGCCGGACTTACTGTGTGACCTTGGTGGGTGCAAAGTAAATAATAAGAACTCAGTCTGCCAGTGATCTCTAAAGGGCAGTGATGGGGACTGTCCTGTTGCATAATTTGATACTGGACAATGTCCCTACCACACACTCTCCTTGTGCGTGCGAGACACAGGCCTGGAGATTTCAAAGGCGGTTGGGAAGAGTTTTTAGATGGCTATTTATAAGGCAAATATTCCTGCAGCAGCTCGGTACGATCCAGGTGGTTCAGATCTGGAGCAAGCACTATTTCCCGATAACAATCCTCACTGAATCCCGATTGCCAAAGGGCTTTCCACAGCTGCCCCCGTCCCCCTTCTGAGCTCCTTGGCCAGGCGCAGCGAGGGCGGCGCGCTCAGGGAGCAGCCGGAACTCGCCCAAGGTCACACCGCCAGCCAGTGGCAAAGCCAGGAACCCCCCCCCCCGCGGCTCTCTGGATTCCCAGGCTGCTTCGGCCACCATCACCCCAGCCGCGGTCTCCCTCACCCTGCGCACCGCCCCAGCCCGCTGCAGGAGCCTGGCTCGGGGCTGCTCCGGCTGACTCCCGGCCTAGGGCCAGCAGAGCCTCGCCGGCCGGGAACAGGGGACCCCAGGGGGCGGCTACCTCCAACACGACGCGCCCCAGGGGCTGGTTGTCGGCTCCCACGTCCAGGTAGACTAGCGGGTTGGGCGGGCTGGCGCTGCTGCAGCCCCGGCTCCAGACAGCCCGCGGGCAGGCGAGCCGCGGCGGGCGCAGCAGGAGCAGGCGGCGGGCGGAGCTCAGCGCGGACATGCTGGCGCGGCGGAGCAGGGCGCACGCGGCCGGCTCTCTGCGCGGCGAAAGGGGGCGGGCGGGGCCGCCAAACACTGCGGGGCTGCCGCCGCTGCAGCGCTTTTTATGGCCTCCGCCGGGAGCCTCCGCAGCGCCCCTGGAGGCGGAAAGCGCCGGGAGGAGGCGGCCAGGTGAGAGGGCCCGGCCCAGGCACGTGCTGCCGGGAGGCGGATGCAGGAAGAAGCAGGTAGGAAAAGGGTTTGAGGGGAGCCAGGGAGAGATGGGCAGCCGGGGGAGCTGGGCTGAAGGGCAGGGAAAAAAACACTGTGGCCGCCTTTGCTTTGCTGCCTCAGCACCGGCTGGCCCGGCCCCCAGCCTGACCAATAGCCCTACCCTACCCACACCCCTGAGACCCTGCGCTAGTAAGGAATACAGCATCCTTCAGACTTGACAACGCAACGGTTTAGAGCTGAGGTTCCCACACAGGGGGCTGCAGCAGGCTGGCGGGTGCCATGGTGCTGCCCACGTCTGCCTCCATCTTTCCAGCTGTGAAATCACCTCAGACAGTTAAAAACACATTAAATACTTTCCGAATGCTACTTTTCTATGGAAGCAAGTGCTGGAGTTGCCACTGCATTAGACCTTTGTGAATAGGAAAGGCGGCTGCGATGAGACAGTCTAGGTAGTGAGGCCTGGGTCATGCTATAAAAAAAAAAGTTTAAGAACCTCAGGCTGAGACCATCAGTGTTTTGGAACAAAGAATATGTCAGAACTGGGAGTAGAACTCAGGACCATAAACCAACCATAATTCACCTCCGGAAAGAGCACCAGCACCACTTAAAGTGTTCAAAATAGGTTGCGTTTCTGGCTGGTTTCCACATAAAGGGACATTGCCAAACTGAAATTTAGGGCCTGATTCTCATTGCCGTGCACCTCTTTCTTGACCATTTCTGTCATGATCACAGGAGATGTTTAATTTCTTAACATAAATACATAACTACATTCTTAAGAGTTGCCACTTAGAGGTACAAAAACTTTTAGAAGGGCGATTCATCTTATTAGTTCACAAAACTGAATAGTCATCACCATTAAGTGTTAAGAAGGGAATGAATATACTCTGCCAACTAAAACCCCAATTCTGCAATTGACAGCCCACCAGCATGCAGGGTCAGGGCCTAAACTAGTTTAGCTGACCAATATGTTTATAATAATAATTACTTTTAGTGTGCTCAAAAGTGGGGTAGGCACTCAGCTATTTATTTATTTATTTATTTATTTATTTTTGTAAACTTCCCCAGGAGGTGCTTTAACTTTGACATGCAATGACCATCTCAAAGACAGGGTACTCCTTCTGAGCCTATGCACAAGGGTGAAAGTGGATTTTGAGAGAGTTGGCAATCTACCCTCTGGGAGCTAAAGAGAAGCCATCAACTAATTTCACGAGTCCCAGAACAACCATTGGATAAGACACACACTTGGAGCACTAAGATGTGAAATGCAATTAAATAGGTTATTACCACATGCATTGGGTAGTGTGATGAGTCACAAGGTCAGAGAAGAAAAGTAATTAGCTACCGATGCTGTACAGCAACCCTTTAGAAATGCATTGACTGGAACATATTATTACCTATTATGAAATGGTATTTATAAATAGAAATAAGTAAAACAGTCACACACAGGTGTGTGATGTGACTGTGACATCGCAGATATCCAGAAGGCTCCACAGGTGCCCAGGATACTAAAGTGCTTTCCTAATCCTATGTAGTTTCCTGTTGTTACCTGAGAGACTATTACAACGATACAGTATGTCATTATACCATGTCGTGGTGCTCCAGGTTCTGCTGGTTTATAAAGGAAAGTTGTGTTTCTGTTTAGTAAGATTAACAGTTTACAAAATAACAAAAAGCCACCGTCTGGCAGCTTAGTTGCAGTTCCTCACCCTAAATTAGTAAAATTTAGTTCAACAATATTTATTAACACATTACTAACTTTTTTTTAGCAAATTTCAGCCATTATTTTAGAATTATTCCCATTGAGTTTCCATATTCTGTTCATTTGCCAAAATTTTCAAAATCTCCTGCTACTACAAGCCCTCTTGGGACTTTGTTGTACTCTGTTGAAATCAAAGGCAACATTTCCAATAATTCTCACTGGTAGCAGCATGCAGTCTCTAGTAAATCATTCCCCTGCTTTCTTTTTCTGTTTTTTAAAAACATTGCAGTGCAGTTTCCATAAGGGAAACAGTAATTCTCAGACCTGCTAAAGTTCTCTGAAATAATTAATAAAGTAACCGCTAAAGATGACTTGATTGACATAATGTACCTGAATTTTCAAAAAGCTGGCAACAAAGTTTCTTCCAAAGTCACTCTGAAGAAAAAGATAACTATGGGATAAATGGCAAGGATACAGTATAAAACTATGAAGGATTATGAGAAATTCTCTATGGACTTGAGCACATTAGGTCAAATTTGTCCCTGGTTCACTGCCCATTTCTTCAAGGCATGTATTCCCAGATACCATCATATAATGTAAAGTAAGTGAAGGGGCACCAGAGTGAATTGAGTCAAATGCAGTGTTGTATGCTAAGTCAACAGTTGACTTCCTGATGCAATGGCAGGTAAGTAAACTCCATATTCATCCTCCATAAGACAAGCCATACTGGGCTAGACCAATTTTTCCTTCTAGCCCAATATCCTGTCTTCCAGTAGTGGCCAATACCAGATGCTTCAAAGAGAATGAAAAGAACAGGTCAATTATCAAGTGACAGTCAGAAGCTTAGGGACACCCAGATCATGGGACTGCGTCCCTGACCATTTTATAGTGTTGACCATCAGAGCATCCCCTGGCAAGGAGTTCCACAGGTTGACTGTGTGTTGTGTGAATAAGTACTGTCTTTTGTTTGTTTTAAACCTGCTGCCTATTAATTTCATGGGGTGACCCCTGGTTCTTATGTTATGTAAAGGGGTAAACAGCACTTCCTTGTTCATTTGATGATTTAACTGGGAATTGGTCCTGCTTTGAGCAGGGGGTTGGACTAGATGACCTTCTGGGGTCCCTTCCAACCCTTATATTCTATGATTCTATGATTCTATGATTTTCTCCACACAATTCATGATTTTATAGACCTCTGTCATATCCCCCCTCATTCATTTCTTTTCTAAGCAGAACAGGCCCAGTGTGTTTAATCTCTTTTCCGATTGAAGCCATTCCATACCCTAAATCATTTTTTCCATCTCTGTATCATTTCCATTTCTAATATATCTTTTTTGTGAGGGGGCGACCAGAAGTGCATGCAGTATTCCAGATATGGTCGTACCATGTAGTAGCATTATGATATTTTCTCTTTTCTTATCTATCCCTTTCCAATGTGCATCACTTTGCCTTTATCATCACTGAATTTCATCTGTCATAGAATCATAGAATATTAGGGTTAGAAGAGACCTCAGGAAGTCATCTAGTCCAATCCCCTGTTCAAAGCAGGACCAACACCAACTAAATCATTCTAGCCAGGGCTTTGTCAAGCCAGGCCTTAAAAACCTAAGGATGGAGATTCCACCACCTTCCTAGGTAACCCAATTCCAGTGCTTCACCACCCTCCTAGTGAAATAGTGTTTCCTAATATCCAACCTAGACCTCACTCACTTCAACTTGAGACCATTGCTTCTTGTTCTGTCATCTGCCACCACTGAGAACAGCCTAACTCCATCCTCTTTTGAACCCCCCTTCAGGTAGTTGAAGGCCGCTATCAAATCCTCCCTCACTCTTCTCTTCTGCAGACTAAATGACCCCGATTCCCTCAGCCTCTCCTGGTAAGTCATGTGCCCCAGCCCCCTAATAATTTCCGTTGCCCACCGCTGGACTTTCTCCAATTTGTCCACATCCCTTCTGTAGTGCGGGAACCAAAACTGGACACAATACTCCAGGTGTGGCCTCACCAGTGCCGAAAGGAGGGGAATAATCACTTCCCTCAATCTGCTGGCAGTGCTCCTACTAATGCAGCCCAATATGCTGTTAGCCTTCTTGGCAACAAGGGCACACTGCTGACTCAAATCCAGCTTCTTATCCACTGTAATCCCCAGGTCCTTTTCTGCAGAACTGCTGCTGAGCCAATTGGTCCCCAGCCTGTAGCGGTGTATGGGATTCTTCCTTCCTAAGTGCACAAGTCTGCACTTGTCCTTGTTGAACCTCATCAGATTTCTTTTAGTCCAGTCCTCCAATTTGTCTAGGTCACACTGGACCCTATCCCTACCCCAGCGTATCTACCTCTCCCCCGAGCTTAGTGTCATCCGTGAACTTGCTGAGGGTACAATTCATCCCAACATCCAGATCATTAATAAAGAAGTTGAATAAAACCGGCCCCAGGACCTACCCATTGGGGACTCCACTTGATACCTTGTAGCCAGACAGCCAGCCCCCACCCTCTCAGACCAGCATTGCTGGAAACACAGGAGGAAGCCGGAACAGGGCACTTAACATATATTCCAGCACAGCCTTTGAAGCTGTGAAAGCACAGGTGTGCTGCTACAATGTGCCTCTGGGAGCAGATACAACGATTAAGCTCACAGCAGGCAGAGGCCCTGTGACAGACATGGCTCTTAGCCCCTACTAAATAGCGTGATGCACACACACCAACATCCTAGGTGGGAAAATATTTACCCTGATAAAAGAAATGTCCAGTAGTCGAAACTTATTGTTTCTCTCCTTTGCAAGTGTAAACTACTCTTGCGAAAGCTGGCGTCACCCAGACAGACCAGCCTCAATTTGGCATAAGAAAGGAGAAAGAGAATAAAGGAGTACAGAGGTATAAGTAGGGGACCTACAGCACCATGATTTTTGGAGTGCTTTTCACTATCTATCTGCTGGTCAGATAAGTGACAGCCTCCCAAGGCTTCTGCGGCTAAGAGGGTCCCTAAGCCTTGTCCCTTATTCGTCTTTCCGCGGAATTGAGTGACCGATCCTGGCTTGGCACCGCTGGAATCGAGAGATGCAAGGAGGGTAAGAAGCACCCACACCTGATCTCCTATCTTTAGTGTACACATATTTTGAAATAGAGCTCTATACTTTGTTTTCTTTCTTTGGGATTGTGGCTTCAGTTTTGTAAC